CGAGGACCAGACAGCAGCAGAAGCGTGAACCGGCTTCCAAGCCGGAAACAGCATGCTGGATTCACAACTAGCCCGCAGGTGTAATTTCCATCTGAGGGAGATCCCAGCCCGTCTGCCGCGCTTCCTCCTACGTTTCCTTTTTGTGAGTTCAAGAGGCCAACGGCATATACAGTCCCGTATATATGATGGCAGAGATCCACACGGTTCAAAGATAAACCGTGCCACATCATCTTTACTGATTAAGAAATTAGGTACGAATGTCCAGCAATGTTAGCAGTGCATAACAATTTCAAGACGAAAGAATAAGCAAAACAAACAGACACAAATAGAGCAGCAGACGGCAAGCCAACAACGGTGCCATCTTGAACACTTCAAGACCAAATTGGGTAGAGTTACTGCATTCAGTGAAGGAAAGATTTGTCTTTATTTGTTTTAATTGGATTTTTAAACATAATTAGATTACACTGAATTACATTACATTTAGAATGTTTACAATTGTAAAGATTACAATTACAAAAAATATTCTCTTTGTTCTTGCCGTTTTTTTTTCTACTACAGACATGGAATCAGAACCGACTGAAATGGCAGCCCTAGGAAGACCTCTGTTTCCTGGCATGCTGTATGACTGCCGCAAAGATTCCTTCATTCCAGGTGCTTTACCTACTTAAATGCTTTTTGTTTCCTTTTTTCAACTAATTTTAAACCCACAAAAAAGTATGGGAACATATTATAATGGATTTCATTAATAATTATATTAATTAAACATTATAATATTTAACAGCTCATTGGTTAATATTGTTACACTTGTTAAGAACAAGGAGGTGCTCATCACTGGTACAACACATTTATTTCTGTAAGAAATATGAAAACATTTAGATTGGGAGCACTCTTTTGCGTGTACACCTGAACTCACTCAGCACATATTGAACACTGAAACTCTATTACTACTGTAACAACTTTCTTTAACCAAGAATCAAAACAAATATATCTTATAATGCAAATGTCAATGCAAATACTATACATGACACTGGACACGTTATTCTTGACACAGGTCTCCCGCTCTAAATACATAAATACTAAAACAAAATAAGCATGTACAGATGAGGTGCTCTCTCTTACACGACACAGGGGATAGGTATAACAAATAACAGTAAAGATTCACATTGCACTGCTTTAACAGATTCAGGGAAGTAATGCTCAAACTCTATACTCATAATCATGAGGATGACAATTTAGTATACACATATTCACATTACTCCAGCATTGATTAATGTATCTCTATTGATTACTGAGTTTGTCTTACTACTCTTTTAATCATTATATTGTTAATTATTTTAGTCACAGTTTTAACCCAATATGAACTATGCTTAATAACTGACTATTCCATTAACTTGATTTTAAATCAACACGTTACTGTTTCAACAATCACATTCTCACTAAATGGATAATAAATTGTCTGACTTGACTTCTAATTAATAAAACATCACAAATTTTGTTTGTGAAAAATTAAAAACTTTATATTTAATGGATGAAAGAATGACGCTAGATAAAGTTAACGTGAGCAGGGTGATCATAGACCTATTCACACATGTGCTTTTTAGCTTGGCTCCTTTAAAGGAACACGCCACTATTTTTGAAAATAGGCTCATTTTCCAACTCCCCTAGAGTTAAACAGTTGAGTTTTACCGTTTTCGAATCCATTCAGCCGATCTCCGGGTCTGGCGGTAGCACTTTTAGCTGTAGCTTAGCATAGATCATTGAATCTGATTAGACCGTTAGCATCTCGCTCAAAAATGACCAAAGAGTTTCTATATTTTTCCTATTTAAAACTTGACTCTTCTGTAGTTACATCGTGTACTTAGACCGACGGTATCATTGCAGCAGGCACAATGATATTACGCAGCGCCTGAAAATAGGCTAACTTCCGTCAACATAATCAACGTGAGCACCTGCT